TTCAACATTCCCAGAGACACTAGAGCCTGGAGATAACATACCCTTATCAGCTTTACTTTCTAATTATAACCTACCTTGCAGATCTGAAAGTCTACTTATGTTTTGTGCCTTTCTTGTAATTTTCTCCAAAATAAAGTCCCTGGGTTCTTAGAGCTAAGTCTAGGTTATGAATTCATTCATCATTTATTTGATCTTTCAAAAAAGTCATTTCAGGGGGGAGAGGGGAAATCCAATGAACCTAGACTTAAGCAGATGAGCTGATATAAAATGCTTAGAACATTACTTGGCATATAGCAAGTGCTAAATAAGTGCTAGCTAGATGGAGGGGGAGAGAGAATCTCAAGCAGGCTCCGTGCTGAGTGCAGAGCCCGACGTGGGGCTCGATCTCACAACCCTGAGATCATGACCTGAGCCGAAATCAAGAATCGGATGCTTAACCAACTGAGCCACCCAGGCGCCCCTTAACTTTTTATTTTAAAAACTACGTATCTTTTAACACATGATTTTAGTAATTTATTGAAAGAAAATAGCTAAGGACACATTCAAATATTTAGCTACAAGAATTTCAGCTCATCATTACATCATTATTTACATGGGCAAAAAAGTGGAAATCCCTAAAACGTCAAATAAAGAGAGACTGATTAAACAAATCAAGGTATACCTATATACAATCATGTTATAGCAAATATTGATGTGGGAAAGTGTTCACGATACATTACTTAAAGGAGAAAGGTATATAGAAGCTATATGTATTACACATATAAATCATTTCTATGAGAAATTAACATATATGTGGAGATTGTGTGTGTATAAAAAAAAGCGTACAATAATATAAATCAAAATGTTAACAAGTGAATCTATTTGGGTGGTGGGATATAAGCACTACAAAGTCAGAGGTTTCCGTTTGTCCTCTGCTGTAATTCTGAAACACAGAGCAGTGCCTGGCACAAGGAAAACATAAAATAAAGAATGTTATTGTTATTTTTGCTTATTTATATCTTCTCACTGATCTGCAATGGAAATCTTATTTGTATAACACTTTGTTTTAAATGTTGCTTTTAAAAAGAATATTCAGGGGCGCCTGGGTGTCTTACTTAGTCAGTTACGCAACTGCCTTTGGCTCAGATAATGAATTCAGGGTCCTGGGATCGAGCCCCGTGTCAGGCTCCCTGCGCAGCAGGGAGTCTGCTTCTCCCTCTGCCTCTCCCTCTGTGCGTGCTCTCTCTCTCTCACAAATAAATAAAATCTCTAAAAAAAAAAAAAAAGAATAATTCAAAGGCAAAACAGAATCTTTTACAAATAGAAATGGGAGTAATCCTACCTACTTCACAGGGTAGTAAGGTTTAAATAATAATTTATGTAAATATGCTTTGTAAACTCTAAAACACTGCATGAATGTCAGCAATTAGTTATTTTGTTAAGACCCTACATTCCAAGTGAAATCAGTCTCATATATGCTTTGGCTGGCAGCCCTCACCTCATCCATGTCACTTCTCCTATCTTGTCCTCTGAAAACACTTAGAAATGTGCATGGCGGCTTCAGAAGCCCAAGGCTGCAACAGAGCATGGATTGCGAAAGTGGGGGGCACCTCCATCAGGAGGAAGCGCAGGTCACCAATAAAATGGATCCTGCAGAAATGTATTTATTGACATCCACTCCTAACCTCTATTAAAAAAAATCATCTCTATGTAACATACTAAAACAATCCCAAATACAGTTTATTGTAAGAATATCTACTATGTCAAATACTCAATTATGCTAATAATTTTCTGACAAGTTATCTTTTTCAATTTTTTAAATTCATTCCACTTGAATTTACTCAGCTTTTCACTCTGAGTCACTTGTTTCTCAAGATTCGATCAGTCAAAGCCACCTATCACATTTCATCTTTCAGTTGCTAAATTTTATGGATGGCTTTCATCCTTTGAAGGCACACCCGCTTTCAGGCCTCACTATGGTTTCAAACGAAGCATGCATATATTTTACAAAAAATGGATGTAATTCCTTCTTACATTTTAATGTTAGTGGTTTCTTATATATATATATATATATTTATGCACTAGTCATTACTTCATAAATCAGAAGCTGAAGCACATTTTCTCTCCCGAAAACAAATGTAGGAACTGTTTTCCAAAGCTTTATTTTTCCTATTTTCACAGAGAGATCACAGAAGTAGGGTACAAAGAAGAAACACTCTAAATTAATAACAGCTAAAAGAAGTATTTAAAAATTATGAAATGTTGGGCGCCTGGGTGGCTCAGTTGGTTAAGTGACTGCCTTCGGCTCAGGTCATGATCCCGGGGTCCTGGGATCGAGTCCCACATCGGGCTCCCGGCTCAGCGGGGAGCCTGCTTCTCCCTCTGACCCTCTCCCCTCTCATGCTGTTTCTCTCTCGCTCGCTCTCTAATAAATAAATAAAATCTTTAAAAAAAATATGAAATGTTATTCGAATCCTTTCATAAATGCAGACAGAAATTTTTTTTCTCCCACAGAACTCTGTTAGAAGCTGAAAACTTTTATCCATACCAACCACATATATGCATTCTTTAAGTTGGATACCAGCTCCCTAAGAAAACAGCAAGCTCTGGATTTCACCAGCAACTATTTCTTCATCTACCTGCTATTCAAAACTCACTTAAAGGTTTGTTGCCCAGTGCTCTTCGCTCTGCTTACACTAATTAAAGGCCCTAGTGAAAATGTTCTCGCCTTCCTTTATTTTATGTGACTGCTTACTAATACTAGAACTAAAATCCTTCCAACAAAACTGAGAAAATATTGTAATTTGGGAAGCTTACCATTACCATAATGACAGTGGAATTCAACAATGACGGTGTGATCATTGAGATGTTTTAGTACTGTGATGTTTCCAAAGGAAACTGGAGCCCAGGATGAGTGGAAGGAGGCGATATGAGGAATATGAGAAAATGAAGAAATTAAGGGCCCATGTTACCCACAGCACCGAAGAAGCCTGCAGGTGATAAGTGACCATGGAGGAGGACGTGGAGTGTTCCAAAGGAAGAACCAGAGAGCTGAGTGAGTGAGTGCAGAACAGGGCTAGGAAGCCAACCTAAGAAGGGAATGCTAACAGACAGAGGCAGACAATGCGATTTGTCGGTTCCAGAAAGAATCCCATCACGTTGTCTGGTTCTTCTCAATAGTCTGAGACGCACAGACCCTAAATCACCCCTGTAGCAAATATACTTCCTACAGATGATAAAACAAAGCAGCCAAACGCATTTAGACTTTTAAAATTTCTAACACCTTAGCTTATGTTCAGTTTCTGGAAATTTCTGCCGAAATGTAAATCATTCCATTTTTTTCTCTCTAGATATTTTCTTGCTAGTGACAGACCTTTTTTTCCACGATAAGATCTTGAACTACCTTTTTTTAGGGCGGGGGATGGGAGAGGGACAGCAGCTCAAACTCAAGGAAACTCTGTATTATTTTTTATAATGTTTGGGGACTTCTAAACCATTTGGTGCTTATTAGTTGTTACTGTTTTTCTAAATGTCTACACTTTCATTTTAAATTTTTATTTAAATCTATATAATTTAAGCAGGAGACAGCAGCTAGTGTCTCAAGGGTAAGTACAGCTCTTCACCTGAAAACTAGAATGCGTTCCTCGCTTAATCTAATGACCTAGATTTATAACTAAATAAAAGTAATAATTTTAAAAATATTTTGAGAAATAGACGCAAAATAGCAACACAAATCCATTTTGCTTATATTGCTTTCTATTCAAAATTTAATTAAAAACATGTTCATTGTGAAACCAGGATTCTTCTCTTACCCAAGCAACAAGGGAGGGGAGCAGAAGGAAGAACAGCTTGGAAGAGCTGCCCGGTGGTTTACAAGATGGGACGGTACGTATGGAGTGTGGCAGGATTAGTCAGACCTCCCTATAAGACTGTTTGGACATTAAAAATAGTAACAAAAAATAAACCTTATGTGAAATGGATTGATCCCTCCCCAAACAGCTGATTACACATTGTGAAAGCATAATGATTTGAGGCATCATCAAATTAAAATTCCCGTATTTTACAGAATGCCAACTTATATATCCACTCGGCCACGCTGTTTTCCTACTCGTAAGTTGAATTCCTGTTTTAAAACTGGGCCAAGTCCTCGTGGGTGTTCTGGTGATGAAAACGACTTTCCTTAAGTTTTAGCCAAGACTTTTTCACTCTGGTATCTGATGAAAAAGGATGCATGTGGGCACACACCACAATGACCAGGCAGGGGTGGGGGGAGAGCTAAGTTTTAGACAACTATTTTGATGTTTAAAATAAAAGGGGGACAAAACGATGCATTAAAAATAATATGCTAATTAATTTTTTAATATATTCTGTGATTCCACACACACCAAGTTTACTGAATACTGACTTACTGATTTTTTTAAAAAGCTGGATATGCTTGTTTAGAATACATTATTGGGGTGCCTGAGTGGTGCAGTCAGTTGAGCGTCCGACTCCTGGCTTTGGCTCAGGTCGTGATCTCAGGGTCATGAGATTGAGGCCCGCATCGGGCTCCACGCTCAGTGCGGAGCCTGCTTGGGATTCCCTCTCTCCTTCTGCCTGCCCCCCGTGAAATAAATAAATAAATCTTAAAACAAATACATTGTTGTATATGTAAACACACGCAAACAAATCAAACCAAAGAAAGAAGAACACAGAAAATGATAAGCTCAGGGAAATGTGCATGAACCGGATGAGAGCAGAAAGTCTGACGGCTCTGAAAACGCTTCTAACCCAAGGACTCCTGGTCAGTTGAAGCAGATACACGACTGCTCTCTCACCCAAAAACCATTCACCTCAAGAGATGAGACAGATCAGCTCTGCTACCCAGAGACCTCTATAGGAGGCGCAGTGTCCAAAGTTCCTGGAACATCTCCATCTGTACATGCGGTTTGGTAGGTCATATTTAAAAAAAAAATGTGACAATACCACAGTCTAGGAAAAAGTAGTAATACCACGATTGAACTGAAAAGTGGCCCACTCACCTGATTGATGGAGTTGGCTGCACAGGATGCAAGGCCTGTGCCCAGAGAAGTAAGCAGAAAGCAGGGCCAGTCAAAAGGTCCTGGGGCCAGTGCAAACCCGGCCGAAGTGGTGCTGACGACCAGAGCTGCAAGACAGAAAGAGAGCAGACGTCTCATCACTGAAGCACAGTCCGGACTATAAACTCCAAAAACCCAGCCCTCTTCCATACAAACCAATCCGTTTCATCAGTGGCACAAACTACGGGCTAATCCTCTCTCATTAAAAAAATTAAAAATTTTTTTTCTGATTATCAAAATTCTAGGTGTTCATTATAGAAAAATGCTAATTTTCCTTTAACGCCATTATACTCAAGAGTAAAAAAAAAAAAAAAAAAAAATCAATGTTCCAGATCCAAACATTCTCTTATTCATTCAACAAACACTTACTGAATACCTAATTCGTGATCAGTACTGTGCTGATCAGGCAGCATATGGGATAAAGGTCTGTAAGGGCTCTTTCCTGCTCTCAGGAACTTTACTTGACAGGGAGCTGAGTGTCATACATCAATAATTCTAACACAGGGCAGCATATATTAAGTGTCCCAATTCTGTGACAAGCTTCGGACCACCTGAGCAGAGGCTCACCTGTAAAAGATGATGATTCTGGGATCCAGATAATGGTTAGAGGATGACCAGAGGGAGAGGATAATCGTACGGCCACCAATGGGAACAGAGGGGTAGAAGCAAAACCATGTAATTCAAGCATCCGCTAAGGCTGGTCCTTCCTTTAGGCCCTGGCCCTTCTTTGCTGGGGGTTTACAGAAGCTGACAGGTCCAGAAAGTGTCTAGGGGCGGTACTGATATGGGGCTGTAGAAATTCACTGCAAAAAGGATCACCAGTGGTAGGCTGATCGGAGAAGACTTCAAGAAGATGGCATTCACGCTGGACCTTCACGAGGGGAGGTAAGAAAAGGAGGAGAATGGTAGGGTGGGTGACAGCACAGGTGGTTGGACAGTCCCAAGAACAGGCACAGAGGCAAGAAAGACCAATGTCAGGAGTCTAAAGTAATCTGACGCCATCTGCCAGGATTTCAAACCAAACATGCAGGAAGCACTACTGAGTCTCTCGTCTCCTGCCCTGCTTGACATCCCATCGACTGCAGAGTACGGTGTTTCAAATGCCCCCTCTAATGCCACCATCGAGCCCACTGACTCACAACCACGGATGGTTCTGCCCCCTGGGGACACTGGGCAACGTCTGGAGACATATTTGGTTGTCATGCTGGAGGTGGGCAGACACTGGCCAGGGATGCCTCTAAACATCCTCCGGCAAGCAGGGCAGCCCCCACAACAAAGAATTTTCTGGCCCAAAATGTCAGGAGTGCTGAGGCTGAGAAACATGTCATCTAGTCCAAGCTATTATCTTGTCTGGACAACGGCAAGAGCCTGTCCCCTAAGTGACCTCCTTGCTTCCACCTTGCCTCTCTCCCAAATGATATTTTATTTTTCTTTCTTTCTTTATTAGATTTATTTATTTGACAGAGAGAGAGCGCGTGCCCAAGCAGGAGGAGGGGCAGAGGGAGAAGCAGACTCGCCGCTGAGAAGGGAGCCTGATGTGGGGCTCGATCCCAGGACCCCAAGATCATGACCTGAGCTGAAGGCCGACGCTTAACGGACTGAGCCACCCAGGTGTCCACCAAACGATATTTTAAAAATATAAGGCGATCCTATCAGTCTGCTTCGAAAGTCCCTTGACACTACACCTGGACTAAAAGGCGAACCCTTTCCTCTGCCGTGTGGATGCGTCCTGTGCCTCTCTCTAGCCAACTCACTGTTCTCCATCGGGAGGGCCTTCTGCTCTCTAAGCAGGCCAGGTTTCTTGCCTGTGGGTTCCTGCCCCCTTCCATATCCTTCAGATCTCGTCTCAAATAGGACTTCTTTGTTTTTTTATTTTGAGAGAGAGAAAGAGAACACGTGAGTGGGGGTGGGGGCGGGAAGAGAAGGGGCAGAGGGGGAAGGAGAATCCCAAGCAGGCTCCAGGCTCAGCACCAAGCCTGACACGGGGCTTGATCTCATGACCCTGAGATCATGACCTGAGCCGAGATCAAGAGTCAGCGCTTAACCGACTGAGCCACCCAGGCGCCCCTGAAATATGACATCCTAGGGAGGCCCTCCCCAGACACCCCTTCAGGCAGGAGCTGACTACGTGGTTCGCCACTACGACTTTTAGGGCTACAGCTAGGCCACGTCCGGAGGAAGGGATGGGGGAGGAAGAGTGGGGGCTGCCAGATGGCAGGGTCTCAAGCTGAGTAGTTTGCAAGTTGTCTGGCTGGCAGAGAGAGTCACTGACAGCCCAATGCAAGGATGTGACCTGTCACTGGAAGGTTAGCCCTGAAGCAGTGGGCACTGTGATTTACTACAGGCAGAGGGTTTTTCAGAGAAACAATTGGAGAGGCTCTACTGTTAATCCACTCTAAGAGGAGTAAAAGCGGGACTCAAATAGATGTAAGGGATATTGTGATTGGTCACTTGTTAGGACTTGGTAATTGCAAGAAGGAGAAAGACAAAAAATAACAAAAGAAGATAAAAGGTAAAGTGTTGCACCACAGGGTGACTTGGAGAAGCATTATAACAGTAACAGAAAGAAATCCATCCCAGGAGAGGTGATCCAGCTGGCTGGTCTTTACAAAATGTGCTGCTTTTGAAGAACCACAGGATATCCATGTAAAAATGTACAGAAAGTGACAGAAGATGAAACCAGAGCTCAGAAAGAGCCTGGGGAGGCAGGAGGGAGGCACAAGGCTCTCGAGTCACTTGCCCAGAGACCATGGCTGAGCCCGAGGGAATGGATGAGATAATTAATGAAGTACGGTGGAAAGAAGTGTATAAAAAATGTCAGAGCTTTGGGGAACCTGGGAGGCTCGGTTCGTTAAGTGTCCGATTCTTGATTTCGGCTCAGGTCATGATCTCAGGGTTGTGAGGTTGAGCCCAGCCTCGGGCTCCGAGCTCCGTAGGGAGTCGGCTTGTGTTTCTTTACTTCTGCCCTCTCCCTGCTCGTGCTCACTCTCTTTAATAAATAAATAAAATCTTTTTTAAAATTGTCAGAACTTCACAGATGGGGGAAAAGGAAACCGTGTCATACCCAGACAAAGAACATCACAAGAACCAGGAGGATGAGGTGCGGGGATGGGACCCCAGGAAGCCCGACCAGAGGCACCACCACTGACGGCAACAAGAAATGATCGGGAAACTGACCGCTCCTCCTAATGATCACGAATTGGTTGGCACCCCCTTCAATCTAGTTTTATCAGCAGCATATAGAAACTCTTTCCTGTTTTACCATATGGACAAGCCCTTAATGTCTAGACTGGACACAGGTTTCTTGGCATTTCTGTGCTTCTTTGATTGGGCTCAATGACAATGTGCAAAGGTGACTTGAGTACATGTGTGTAGACGGTCACCTGAAACCAGAATATGTCCTTTGGCCAAAAAGTCCCTCCTTTAACAACGTCGTCCCCAAATGTGGTGTGCGTCCACATCTCCTGGGAGGACAAGTACAGGAATGGGCATGCAGGTTTGGATAAAAGGTTACAAAAAGGCAAGCAGCAGATTAGGACCTGAAGGCAAACAGGAGAAAAGAGGCTAGCCTGGGCCAGGAAGCATGCTCAGCTCCCCACTCCTGTCCTCGGCTCTGGGGGTGCAGTGTGCTCTGGCCCATGTCCGGTACCACGAGTGGGGGCACAGCACTCTCACCTAAGTCCAGACCAGCGAACAGCCACACAGAGACTTACATCCAGAAGAAAATGCCACATGACTCCAGGCTCGCCCACAGCCCCTGCAGGTTCAAGTAAGAGGACATTCTACCCACGCACGACAGGGAAAGAATGGCCCCCCCTCACTTCACGGCCCACTGAGCCATACCTGCACTTATGTAATGACTCCTAAGGAAGGCACCTGTTTTAGAGCAAACAAAACTCCTTTTAGAATACTCAAAACAGCTCCCTTCTGTGAGGAGGCTTTTTCATCCTTTACAGATACACGCCACCAATCACCAAGCCTTGTGGACAGGCCAGTGTCCCGGAATGAGTCATCTTGCTTTGCACAACTCAAGAGCTCTCCAGAGAGGTCAGGCGACTCCTCACTTATTGCCGTGTGTGGTGACAAGCCAGGACTGGAAAAAAAAAGGCCGGTAACACCCAGGTTACTTCGCAACTCAACCACCCAGGAAGACAGGTTGACGGTGTGTCACTGGGAGAATTGGAAGGAAAAGAGACAGGAGGGCTTTTCCTCTCAAAATGAACTAAGTAAATTGCTCCCACCCATGGAGTCGATCGGTTGAAATAATTTTTTTTTTTTAAGATTTACTTATTTATTTGAGAGAGAGAGAGTGAGAGGGAGAGTGCAGCAGGGAAGGGCAAGGCAGAGGGAGAGAAAGCATCCCAAGCAGACTCCCAGCTGAGCGTGGAGCCCAACACAGGACTCGATCCCATGACCCTGAGATCACGACTTGAGCCGAAATCAAGAGTCAGATGCTTCACCAACCGAGCCACCCTGGGCCCCTAAAATAATGCTTGACTCTATGGTAAAGCCTTGAACCTTAAACCAAAAGTAGACTATTTGTAAACAACTATGGGAGTCAAAAGAGCACAGAAAATGCATAATTATTTTCTCAATATAAAATTAGTAAAATCCAGAGTCACCAAAGTAACTTTAGCTATCCCTCAATATCCACATCAACATTTTGTATTGTGTTTTATAAACAAATAAAAAGAAAGAGCAATTTCCACCGTAGTGGAAGAGATGGCACAATAATCACTGAACTGTCAAGATAAAAATGCTGCAAGAAGAAAATTCACTTTGTTTAAACCCAGAAAGGGTGTGTAGCTACCTGAAAATAAAACTGTTAGTTCAGAGGAGAAAGTATCTTGTTTTTCTTTTTACTTGCCCCGGAGTTTGACTGAGTGATGAATGATACAAAAAGCACATCAAATTTTGACTAACGGGTCAACTCATAAGTTGAGAAGAGACAGAAAGTGATATGCAAAAAACTGATAAAGGGAAAGGGCTATGTTTTAGTAAGACCTAACAATGACTCAGTTTGCAAAATGGAAACACTGCCTAATTTAAAACTGTACAAATTGTAATG